CAATAAAATAAATAATTTACTGATGCTGGGTTTCTTCTCTCGCTGCTCTGTTCTCAGGTGTATCGGCAGCGCCTTTCTTTTCGGGTGTATAGGCAGCTACGGTGGTGTTTTGTTTTCTTCTTTCTCTCGCCTCTCACATCGTTATATTTGGTATTTTCTGAAGTGTTTTTGTTTAATTAAATATAAAAAAACATTTAATTAACAAAAACTTCTCTCTTTTTGCTGCAGCTTCTCTCCTTTCTACACCCTCCTCGCGATCGAGGGGGCCGAGCGGTCTCAGCACCAAGGAGGAAACCTGAATTTCTGTTCTTCTTTTTTTCTTTTTTTTTTGAAAAAAAGTATATTTTAACGAAGTTAAACACTGTCAGCTGCTATAATTTACACTTCTGCCCACCATGCTGCCTCAGGAGCAGCAGCAGCAGCAGCTGCTGCAGCAGCAGAACGAGCAACTGCAGCAACAGCAGCAGCAGGAGCAGCACCCACAGGAAAAGCAGCAGAAGCAACAGGATCAGGATCAGGAGGAGCAGCAGCAGAAGCAGCAGCATGTGCAGCAGCAGCAGCATCCGCAACAGCATGAAGGAGAGCAGCAGCAGCAGCAACAACAGCAGCAGCAGCAGCAGCAGCAGCAAGATGAAGACAAATTCTTACGGTCTTCTTCTGAGGATGAACTCTCTGCTCTCTTCCCCGACACCTGGCGCGAATTAGCTTCCGTCTTGAGGCGCAGAGAGCAGCAGCAGCAGCAGCAGCAGCAGCAGCAGCAACAGCAGCAGCAGCAGCAACAGCAGCAGCAGGAGCTGATTCCAGGGTTAAGTGCAGCACGAGTTGCATGCATAGAGGATCAGACGGCTGCTGCTTCGGCTGTATCGACACCTTCTGTCTCTGGCGTCTCCTGTATCTCGCCAGCAGAAGAAAAAGAAAAAGAAAAAAAAGAAAAAGAAAAAGAAGAAAAAGAAAAAGAAAAAGAAAAAGAGGGGAAAGAAAAAGAAAAAAAAGAAAAAGAAAAAGAAAAAAAAGAAAAAGAAAAAGAAAAAAAAGAAAAAGAAAGAGAAGAAAAGGAAACAGAAAAAGAAAAAAAAGAAAAACAAAAAGAAAAAGGAGCAGAAGAAAGAGAAGAAGAGGAAGAAGACAGATATCATTATAGTCGTGCGGTCACCCCAGCTTCTGTTTGTAGCAGCAGAAGCAGCAGCAGCAGAAGCAACAGCAGCAGCACCTTTCGCAGCAGCAGGAGCTACAGCAGCAGCAGCAGCAGCAGCAGCAGCAGCAGCAGCAGCAGCAGGAGTTGCTGCACCCACAGAAGAAAAAGA